TGGGGCTATTTAGTATATGGAAGTTAACCCAATGAATGAGGAAAATTGTATCAAAGTGTTTGATAAAATTTCTCTGGTCTGTGTTCCAAGAGTGAGAAAACCACATAATAAGAATGATCCCTTTGCCGAAACAAAGATTAATCAAGAACCAGTTCCAATTTTTAAGAGATCTGATAATCGCTCTGGGTTTGAATCATATAATAATAATAATGATTTCTTTGCTGAAACTAGGAATAATCAAGAATCGAACTTGAATTCCCAGTTGCCTGAAAATAATGAAACAATTTTAATTAATCTATTAATCAATTACTTTCCTCAAATATTAGTTTTCTTAATCTTTTGTTTGGTTTTTTACAAATATATTCTCACTATAATTGTAATTATTATGATTATCACTATTCTATATGGTGCAAAGATTCTTAACTAGCATTTTATACAAGCGATTATTCAATTAATTTTGTTCTTTAAGACAAATTTTATAAAATTACTATTCGGGTTTTATTGTAATGTATTGAAAATGATATTATCTGACATTGCTGGGATTGCTTTTATTATTTTATCCATTATGATTTGAATATCTTAGAGAACTAAACAACGATTACCATTGATTACTACTTATAGTATTCCCAAAATAATACTCATTATTTAGGCATAGGTATTATTCACTATCTTTATCAATCTAGTTCTCGAATAAAACCCTGGTACATATGTTACAGGTCATGTTAGTTTTTAGGTTAAGTTAAACTTGGCCCGGTCAACTTAATCAAACTCGAATCAGCATAAATTAATTAATTTGATCCAGTCAAATCGAAATTAATTTAGTTAAACCATTAGTCGAAATAAGCTGTTACGTATATATAAATATAACAATAATGATTTATGCACTACATTTATGTAAATATGAAACTAAGTGTCGAATATATTATTTATTTTGGCAGATTATGTTGTTGCCATCATGACATCTCTGTTACATTTTAAGTTATTTTTACTGTAAGCACAACGTTTAGACAGACAATTTCCTTTACAATAATAAACTGCTTGACTTACAAATATACCACTTTGTTTAATACCGGTTGTACGTTAAATAAACTGGTTGAATGGCATTTCAGGATAGTTAGATGGTACTAGTGAACTTATATTACATACATGAAACATGCACGAAAACAAGTATCTGAAATAACATTAGCACAAGCCAACTTATAATATCCTTCATGAAGAACTTCCAATACTTTACAAAGCAAAAATTTTCGATCAGCATTAGATCGATCAATTTTTGAAACCGGAACCTTAAACATAATCTCCACTTTTAAAGTATCCTTTCTTTTTAGATTCGATTTGGAAATTTTTTTTTTAAATCCATTTATATAAACTTGAATTTTTTAATCCATTTGTATAAAGGCGGCATCTTATACGGAAAGTTTTTTCTAATATCAGGAATCCAAATTGTCTCGATATTAGTTAATGTTTGTGGATCATCTAACGCAAAGCATAGAATAATTGCGCCAGTATCTCTATATTCGATCTCACGATCAAGTTCTCCTAATTCAAAATAACCAATCGCATCATATATTGAATAAACAAAGTAATGGAGGCCAGCTGGATACCAATCAAAAGGTGCCAACGGGAAATAAAACTGTTGATAATACATGCTGGAAGTATAAAAAGCACGACGAGCAAGTGTTGTCTTTCCAACATCGCTATCACCGATTATTGCTATTTTAAGCCAGATTGGATCCTCTTCTGCTTTTGCGTCATTAGTAAGCCAGATTGGATCCTCTTCTGCTTTTGCGTCATTAGTGACTTTAGTGACTTCAATTGTTTTGACAGTCGACAAATTTTCACAATATTTTTTATGTATTTTCCAGTCCTTTTTTTGACACTCTTTAGAGCAGTAATATGTTTGTTTACATCTCGAACAACAATGCTTAGTAGGTTTCTTACAAATGTTGCACTTATTATTATTCATCAGGCACCTATATGAAAGCTTTAAAATTATAAAGGATATAAATACGCAACAGTTAAGAGTCAAGCTTCAATTTAAAAGTCCCTTTTCAATCGGGTAGGGAATTTGTAAGTAAAGAACAG